TAAGCACTTCACATTATTACCCCGGTGACTGATCAAAAAATTGCAGCTAGTAATCAGTGTAGTTTTGTTTGAACCTGACAGGTACACATTTATACACCTGGGTGGAGAGAGGCAAACGTAGGTAAAGTATTGTGCCGAAGAACACAAGCATGCGACGAGCGTCGGTCTCGAACTACCGATCCTGCAATCAGAAATCCAATGCCTGACACGCTGCGCCACACAACCCCAATAATAAAAAAACATAAATCATAAATTTATTACCTTACCTGTCAAACAAATTTGAAAGGAAAACAATGGTCACTGAATATAAATCCTGTCTCTTATACACATCTAGATGTGTATAAGAGACAGCATTTATGCTTATTTAATGAATTGGACACTTCTAAGTACATTTGAAAGAGCGAGTAAGTAATTTTTTAGGTTCATAAAAAATCTCCTGAGAAAGCCTATTCATAACTTGGGACACCTGAAAATTTGAACTATATTTTAAAATGTTTAAGGCCATTTTAAAGTATGAGAGTGCTACTTTAAGGCATCTGGAGAGGCCGTATTCTTAAAATTGTGGAGCTGAGATGGGTGGTCTTTCCATCATCTGGTCTCCTATATTTAAAATCTTTAGAATTTATGAACTAGAATACAACTGATTACATTATCACAGGGCCGGCGTAACGTTTTTTCAAAGTGGGGAGGGGGGGCCCACTTATAAGATGAATGGGAATATGAATCACTTAGATCTGGGGTCAACATTTTTTTCAAAAACGAAAGGGGATCCGGGAAATGACCATTCTCGACTTTTGAGCTAGGTGTCTAATGACTAGAAGGCGGGAAATGAGTTTTCCCGACTTCTGAGGTGTTTTTAATTACTTTTAAGTTCTTCAAAATTCAAGGTTTTCCCCTTTTGAAAATTATTATGATGAATCAAATTTGAACTCAAAGAGAAAAGGGAGGTTCAGGTTCTCCAAGGGAAAATGTTGATTTTTAAATAGTGGGAAATGAGCTTTCCCGACTTGTGAAGTATCTTTTAGCGACTTTAATTTAAGTTCTTCAAAATTCAAGGTTTCCCTTCTTGAAAATGGTCAAGTAAATTTTTCCCATTGTTATTACAGCAGATAGGCCTTATGTGTGTATACATACATAAACAAATTGAGTAGTGTAGTTGCATACGATTTTTTTTCCATGAATCAATAAATCCTAAAAAAGAAAGGGGGTTTTCCCCCAGTGAAAATTTTGATTCTTAGAAGGCGGGAAATAAGCTTTCCCGACTTCTGATGTGACTTTTAATTACTTTTTATTTCTTCAAAATTCAAGGTTTTTCCCCTCTTGAAAATGATTCGATGAATCAATGAATTCCAAAGAAAAAGGGGGTCCGGGTTGCCCTGGAAAAATTTTGATTTCTAGAATGCGGAAAATGAGCTTTCCTGACTTCTGAAATGTCTTTTTTAAATGACTTTTTAAGTTCTTCACAATTTAATGTTTCCCCTCTTGAAAACGGTCAGGTAAATTTTTCTCATGTCTTATTTTGTGTATGCATACATAAATAAATGAGTAGTTGCACGCGTATTCTTTTTTCCATGAATCGATAAATCCCCCCCAAAAAATTTTGATTCCTATATGGCGGGAAATAAGCTTTCCCGACATTTGAAGTGTGTTTTAATGACTTTTACGTTTTCCAAAATTCTTATTTTCTTATTGTAACATAAAAAAAAAAAAAAATCGCGTCCTGAAAAGTTAGGTTTAGAATTCTTTTTTCTTTTTCTTTTCTGTTGCCCAAGGGAGGGGTCAGGACCCATTACCCCTCCCCCAGATCCGCCAATTTGAATTGTGAGAAAATGTAACTCGGTCAGGGACTGGATAAACATTCTCTTTCCCATCCTTCTCCTCCTTCCCTCTTTCTTTTCTTGCAATTCTTTCCAATCATACAAAAATCTCCAGACATTATATATTTTTTTGCCAAAAAGTGGGGGAGGGGGGCGCCCTGGGCCCCCGGTTATGTATCACAGTTACAATTACTGTTATTTAGAAATGGTACTTACTTTTCCTTGCTTCTCTTTACTAGTGGGCTTATGCCTACTTCTTGTTCTTGGCATATTAGTACTGCAAAAAAGATCAGATAGAAAGTATATATGTCAATGAATTGTTGTAATCTACTAAGATATGCTAGAAATCCAGGTTTGTGCCAACTTTTAGCCAGTTTAGGTTCATGGTATAGGCTAGTGTGTTGGGCTATTCCATACTAATAAAGTGGACACAAAGGAAAAACTCTTTAATAAAATGTTATTTAAATGGAAAAAAAAACAATACCTTAATAAAGTGGGGAGGACTACACTATTTTTTTTTATTCCTTATTATATTAGGATAAAACGTTACCACAAGGCCTAGGCTTAGGAGGCCTAATTAATAAATATGTCGTTATTATTTAGCGCTTCATGCAAATTGCCTCTAAGCACTTCACATTATTACCCCGGTGACTGATCACAAAATTGCAGCTAGTAATCAGCGTAGTTTTGTTTGAACCTGACAGGTACACATTTATACACCTGGGTGGAGAGAGGCAAACGTAGGTAAAGTATTGTGCCGAAGGACACAAGCATGCGACGAGCGTCGGTCTCGAACTACCGATCCTGCAATCAGAAATCCAATGCCTGACACGCTGCGCCACACAACCCCAATAATAAAAAAACATAAATCATAAATTTATTACCTTACCTGTCAAACAAATTTGCAAGGAAAACAATGGTCACTGAATATAAATCTCACAAAATTATAGTGAAATTCATTGTAAAAAAAAGACAAAAAAAGAGCAGAAAATTTCATTTTTAAAGGTGTAAACTTCTGTGGTAAATATTCTATACTCTAAACAAAATTGAATCATAGAGTCTAAAACAAAATTTCTGATTATTAAACCCTTTGGAATCATAATCTCCTCGCATTCTCCAGACCTATTACACAGTTAATCAACATGTAAACTCACCACAAACTGAGATCCTTGCTTAGAGCCTAGCTAGGCCTTATCTAGGCCTTGGCAACGATTCTTGCTTACAGAAGCCTAGCCTAGGCCTAGTCCTCGGTTGGGGATATATTAGGGGATATCTGGTCTGGTCTAGGCCTTAGCCTATGTATGAGGCAAATGAAATGTAAATTATAGTTATAGCCACAAACACATAATATGATAATTGCAATAATAATTTTTTTTCTTGATTTTTCAAGGCTTAATATATTTTCCGCAAAAGTAGGATAAAAAATTCTGTTAAATTAAAAATTCCAGAAGTTACGCTTACATATTTTTCCAGGGTGGGAAGGGAGAATATATTTCCCACTCCAGGCAATAGGCCTAGCAAAACTTGGCAGCTGTGTGAACAAAAGGTTTAGGCAAAGATTAGGTACTAGAATACACTAGGCAATTTTGAAATTGGAAAAAAACAAAAAACATACTTACTCAGTCCTCCCACTACAGTATTACTTGTTCTCTGCGGCGTACGTAAAATGAGGATATTTATATAGGCCTATACATAAAACTAATTAACTTTCTTAACATGTACTGGCAACATCCAACTAATTTTAATAATCACAGTGTAGAATTGATTGGAAAATTGATGTTTTCTGTTATTTGAGCCCTATTTTTTACTTCTATTTTTGAGAATTTCTATTTTTGAGTGTTATTTCTATACAATCCGATATACATCTATTTGCAGTTCAAGGTACTTTGCAATTGCCGTTTTGGTTTATTGCCGTTTTGGTCATTGCCGTTTTTCTGACTAGAAACCAACACTCATTAACGCGAATGCGGTCATAGTAATTACCGTCAACAGCCGTTAACAAGCGTTGTTGACGGTGTTAATGTACACATACTAATTACCGTAAACAAGCCTTGTCGACGGTTGTTGACAGTTGTTGACGGTAATTAGTATGACCGAAACAGCATTAATAATTATGTGCACATGTGACAGGGTGCCAACCTATGTGCGGCAAAACAACACCATACCGGATTCTCTTTGGCGATTAGAGTATCCCCATTTAACTGTTTATCCTCGATTCCTCTGCACCTGAGACGCCTTCGCATGAAACAATGACATCATCAACAACTACTGTACTACTAACTACCAGTATTTATACATACTAGCATACCCGTGCTCCCCACGGTGTTGAATGAGTCGGGAAAGGTGGTGATCATGTACATTGTTGAATGGGGAAGTTGATGAGGCAATTGTTGTGGATGTTATGGTTGTTATGACATATGTTATTATTTTTCTGAAGGACATCTTTGTAGTTAATGTTTTGAGTGTCTTTAGCCTTGTTCCGACGGTGCAAGTTACACCGGTGATATCGTAGTTATCGAACAAGCGCTTGTTATGAGGCTGACTCCGACTGTATGAACGGGGTCACCTGATAAAAAACAACCACTTCACCCCGCAAGCTAACACCGACAAATGACCGGATTGGC